CTGATGCACTTAGTAAAAACAGAAAGCCCATCAATAATTCAAGCCCGCAACTGTCCGAGCACTCGCAGTGCATTACACTTGCTTGCGCTGCACGGGTTCATATCCCTCCTAATTCACCACAGGCTCCTGGTCAGTCCAAATTAGCGAAAAAACAAATGAACCAACATCTTTGGCATCTTTCCACATCCCTGAGTGCAGAGCCAGGCTCACAAGCAGGCACAAATAAATCCTCAGACCTTACCCTGCCCAAGGGGGCAACGCTAACCCTAGCCAAGGCACAGAGAACCAGCATGGTAACAGGTAGAGAACTTGCAAGTCCAAGCTTTTCCCAGCCCCATCTTGCATGCTTCCACATTCAGTTCGGAGGAGCCCAGCAGTCTCATTTGAGCACATCCTCCATCCCCGCAGCAGCACAGAGGGCCCTACTGCACAGAAAGGCCACAGCAAAACCAGAGCAGTTGATCCAGAAGCTCCCAGGAAAGAGCTCCCAACTCCCCGTTAGGGGGAAAGAAGGCGAGTTTTGACCACACCTATTTCTCACCCACCGCCCCAGCAACGTGCCCGCATCTCACACCAACAGCTCTGACCGCAGACCAGCCCATTTGGGAGGAACCCACTCGCCTGGACAGGTGCATCTTGGCATGGAGGTTGTGCAAGCCAGGGGTGGGCTCAGGATCCTGGCCCGCTCTGTCCAAGCCCCACGAGCGCCAGCTCGAGGGGAGGAGGACACCGTCTCCTACCGAGAGGCAGCTACAACCACAAGACAATCTCTTAATCCCTCCTTGTGCATCCCTCAGTCCTGATCCTGCTTTGGTTGCTGTCTTCAGCTCCACGACCACCACCCCTCACGGCCCAACGGCCCTCCCTGAAGGCAGGTTATAGAAAACACATACGATGGACTTCGGACATGCTGGCGCGTGGCCAGACGGCCCTCCCAGCACGGGAAAGGCCTGCTCCTCGCAGGCGGGTCGGACACCGCCTGGGGCGCCTACCTGCGCTGGCACAACCCCACCCTGACCAGCCAAAAGCCAGGCCCAAACCACCGGGCCCTGGCAAGAGCTGGATGGGGGAAAACCATGAGGAGCGCCAGCCTTCGGCTGGCGAGGGGGGAGAGC